GCGTCCTCCTACCTGCGAGCTCGCGGCTTTCTCTTCCCGCGCGAGTCCGGGCCTCAGCCGTTTGCACCGTCGCGTGCGCACCGTCCGGCTCCTAAAGAGGCTCGGGGAGAGCGAGCGGAGCCGCTGCCCGGCTGGGGAATCCTAGGGAAGTCCCGCACCCGGCCTGCCTCGATGGCAGTCGGCAGCTCCCCGCGTGCCACCGCTGACCCCGCGTTTCCCGGCGGGTTTGGGATCCTGGCTCGCAGCCCGCTGCAGCCTGCCCATCTCCACGCCCAGAGCTGTTGCAACCCAAGCACCCTAGGTGGCCGGTCCTTTTGCTCGAAACTACGACAGGAGTATTGGGAATTCTGTGCACCTGTGCCCCAAGCAAATGCTGGGCTCACCTGGAAAATGTGTTAAGCAACTGCGCCACCTAGCTTACCTCCTGCCAGAGAGAGGCTACCACAGGACGGGGTAGAAGCCACTAGAGGAAACAATGATTGAAGGTGGGCACGCTGCCCCTCCGCTGCCAATGTCTCCTGTAGCGGCGTCAGTAGAATACACGGGACATTTGTTCGTGTCTCCTAAGAGAAAGCTCAATTCTTTGAGGCGTCCCTGGTCTGTGGCTGCACACTTTAAAAGGGTAGGGTGATGAGGGAAATCAAGGTATTTCTGCCTATCTTCAAAGTCTTCTGCCACCATGTCCCATTGCCAGCTGGTATTTTAGGCCCACGAGGTCCCACCGCTTTTATTGGTAACGATGATTCTCAACACAGACTTCTGAGCACTGTTTGGGTTTGACGTTAAGTCGTGCCTCCACCAGATTTCCTACTGTGGGTTTTAACCACGTGTGGTTTTGCCTGTACACGTTAAAGTTGAAAGGGAAAAAAAAACCCCAAAACAAACTGCATAACTTCACCCCTCATCACCCACTGCCTTCAATTCTGGCGCATAGTGACTCCACAGGAGACAGTTAAGATGGCTCCTTAGGGTTTCCGAATATGTAAATCTTCAGGGAAGCAGATAGCCTCATTTTCCTCCCTTGGAGCAGGTGGTGGATTCAAACCACTGAACTTTCAGTTAGCAGCGCAACCCAATAACCTATGCATGACCACAGCTCCTTTTACCCTCGCTCTGGAACTATGAAATGATTTGACTCTGATGTGACTCATTCTTTTAGGTCACCTTGTCTTCAGAAACAGGAAAACTTGGGACTATGATGTCCAAGGTTTCAATTCCAGAATGAACTGTTTCCTAATCCCGACAGTCACCCGTCTTCAGACTTCCTTCTTTGAGCAGAGTCATTTCTTTCAGAGAGCATTCAGTAGTCAACAACAAAAATGTGAAGAAAGGCCCTGCAACCGAGCTCGGTCAGGAAAAATTGCGTGACTAAGTGTGTTGGCCTCGGGATTTAAAGTGTGGTTCCCAGGAATACAGAATCAGTGTCATCTGGAGGGAGTTCTACTCCAGTAAAGAATTCATCTCTGAAACCCCTAGTGACCGTTCTGTCCCTCTGACAGGGTTGCTATGAGTCGGAATCCACGCGATGGCAGTGAGTTTGGGGAGCAGGGAGGAACTTGGTAAAAATACTAATGCTTGGGTTTCACGGCAGTCTTAACCATTCAGAAACGGAGGGAGGCTGAGTGAAGAAAGTCATGCTGAGTCACTCTGGGCAGTGGCTGCAATGTGGGCCCGAACATAGGAACCATCTTGAGGAGGGTGCACGGCCACATAGCGTTTGCTTCTCCTTTGAAGTTGCTATGATTTTAGGCCTACTTGACAGATTGCAACTCATTGTAAAGAAAACAAAAACTCTCCCAAGTGGATCCATAAACAGAAAAGATGGACGTTATCAAGGGTTTCATTTTGATTGGATCCAATCAATGCTCACGGAAACAGCAGTCAAGAAAGCAGTACAGTATGTTAGTGCTCAGGGTCCCTGTCCTGGTGGTGCTGTGGACCAAGTGTTGGACTGCTAACCTCACGCTCTGTGTGGTCCAGAAAAAGAGGAGGCTATCTCTTCTTCCAAGATCTAGTCTCAGAAACCCTGTATAAGGTCACTATGAGTGGGATCCGATTAATGACAATGGGCTTGGTTTTGGTTTGGGGGTATGATCGGATTGGTCAGATTTGCTGCAAGGACCCCTTTAAAGGGTTAAAGAGCAATGATACTCCTTTGAAGTCTAAGGTGCACCTGACCCAAGTCATGACATTTTCAATCACTTCATATGGATGTGATCCTTGGATGGTGACTATGAAAGGCCAGAGCCGAAGGAATGCATCTGAATGATGGTCCTCACAAAGAGCATCGAATATATCATGGACCGCTGGAACAAACCAATCTGTCTTGGAGGAAGTGTGCATAAAATGCTCCTTAGGAGGGAGCATGGGGAGACTTCATCTCATGTACTTTGCATATGTTAAGAATTAAGGATGCAGACAGACATTGGGCCTCAACTCAAGTACTACCTCAACACAAGAACACTTTGTTCTAATAATCCGGCATTCTGTGATGCTCACCTCCCTGAGACCATTGCTGAAGACAAAATGGGTGCATAAGCAAATTTGGTAAAGAAAGCTGATGGTGCCTGGCTATCAATATATAGAGTCTGAGGACTTAAAGGCTTGAAAATAAACAGGCAGCCATCTAGCTGAGAAGCAACAAAGCCCATATGGAAGAAGCACGCCAGCCTGTGTGATCATGAGGTGTTGATGGGATCAGGTATCAGACATCTAAGACCCAGAACAAAATTATAAACAATGTGAATGGGGGAGGGGGGGAGCGCGGTGGCATGGAGTGGAGACATAATGTCCATCTGTCGACAATTGGACATCCCCTCACAGAAGGATCACAGGGTAGAGATGAGCCAGTCAGGGTGCAGTATAGCACCAATGAACCAACTTTCCTCTAGTTCTTAGGTGCTTCCTTCCCTCCACTATCACGACCTCATTTCTACCTTACAAATTGGATTAGACCAGAACATGCACACTGCTACAGATAAGAGCCTACAACACAGGGAATCCAGGCTAGATAAACCCCTCATGGCCAACAATGAGAGTAGCAATACCTACCAGGAGGATTAGGGTAGGGTGGGGGGAGAAAGAGGGAACCCATCACAAGGATCAAACTATAATCCCCTACCAGGGGGATGAATAATGAAAAAGTGAGTGAGGGGCGATGGAGGACGATGTAAGACATGAAAATAATAATCCATAACTTATCAAGGGTTTGTGAGGGATGGCAGGTGGGGAAGGGAGAGGGAAGAAATGGGGCGCTGAGATCAGGGGCTCAAGTGGGAAGAGAATGCTTTGAAAATGATGATGGCAGCATATGTGCAAATGTGCTCGACACATGAATGTATGGATTGTGATAAGAGATGTAAGAGCCCCCAATAAAAGTATTTAATAACAAATTAAAAAGGAGGGACTCTAGGAACTACCCTCTGTCACGTCACCTTCCTCCTAGCTGGAACTTCACTGGGATTCTGTGAGTGCCACCAGCGAGGCTCCATACAGGCTGCCCAACTTTGAGAGCTCCTGGTGCCCTGCCATGTTCCCACTGACCTTGGGATTACCCACTGGTCTGTGATCTTCCTGCTTCACCGCTCTGCATCACTGACATGAAGCTATATGAGCTGTAGAGGGACTAACAGAATAGCATTAGATTTATGGACTGGAATCAGATTGGGCTCGGATGCTTTCCTTTAATACAAGATTACTTTTTGATATAAGGTCTTTCTTATACATATATGAAGGTCACTGAATTTGTTTCTCTATAGACAACCTGGTCTAAAACACTAACTCCTAAGGTCCATAAAGTACCCTGGCCTGCCCAAAGAACAAACAAATCTGTCATGGAAAAAAGTATAGTCAGAATACTTCTTAGAGGCAAGGGTGGTGAGAATTCACTTCATGTACTTTGGACATGTCAGGAAAGACCAGCCCCTGGAGCACATCATGCTTGGTAAAGTAGAGGGTTGGGGGAAAAGAGGAAGGTCCTCCATCAGATAAATTGACACTGTGGCGGCAACAATAGGTTCCAATATTACAACAACTGTGAATGTGGCTCAAGACAGGGTGGTGTTTCGTTCTGTTGCACAAACAGTTGCTATGAGTAGGAAGCAATTCAACAGCACCTAACAACAACAAGTCATACTTTGTAGAGGGTGAGCAAAAATGAAGTAAGCCTCCATGAGATGAACTGGCACAATGACCATAATAATGTACTCAGACAAATGAGGACGGCAATGTTTTGCTCCGTCTTATGTAAGGTCACCCTGGGTGTCATCCAATGGGAAGGCAACTAACAACACATCTCATGTGATTTGTTGTGATGATTACATGGCTTAGAACAAGCAAAGCTCCGAGCACAGCGCCTGAGTGCAGTATGCACTTAGCAAGCACCAACAGTGATTATTACTGAAAGTTGCTAGCTACCTCTGCCAAGGTTGAGGAGAGGCAAGCAAACACTATGAACATCTGAGGAGATTATCTTTTATTCATACAAACAATACATACACAAGACTGTACATTATTTGAAGACAGCAATAGTTTCCTAGTTTAACAACTCTGTAACAAAATTTAACTAAATGTAACATTTATGAAAATATAAATCTCTGGTTGGGTAATTCTTCCCAACGATACAAAGTTTACATAAAAACATTCAGTATGAGCTATCAGTTGCAGATAAATTAGGAAAAGTCATTCAAGTCACTTGTTAATACTCAACTGGCTTTTACATAGAACACTCACACGCTACATGTAATCTGTCTAGGCATTTAATTCTTAGATATGTGTGGATGAAGGGGCACCTCACAGGGGTTAGGAGTGTGCTCTCTCTGAGGAGCTCAAAAAGCATTAGTTCATTCACCAACTCCAGATGACCTGGATGTACATCTGCATGTTTTCTGGGTTACCTTCTACCTGGTTGGTAGCAAGAGCAGTAGTAACATGCTGAAAAGTCTTTCACCATCGAGTGGCATATTTATATCTGAGTCATATCTTTGAAGGCGCATGTGCCAAAATGCTTTGCAAAGTGAAATACAAGTGACTTGGAATCTCTATAGATTCAATCACTCTTTCTCTTACAGCATCACTCATCAAGCAGCTACTGCATTTTCTCTCTCGTAGCTCTCCAACTTCCATGAGAGCTTTCGAGCAGAGGGTGTCCCTACGGTTACTTTGAAGCTTACAATAACAATACACTAGGGAGACAGAAGATCTGTCTAGGCAGACACGATGAGCTCATGACAGAGCTGGACTGAGAGTCCATTCCTTGTTCATTATTCCTACCCCCTACTGCTGCTTTCAAATAAAATTAGGCCAAACCACTACTAGGATACCTCGGGAGGTTCCCAAGGATATGCCATGAGGAGGATAGGGAGGGGAAGAACAGATTTTCATCTGGGGAATGTTACTTATTTTTTGAAGGTGAAGTCCTTTCTGAAATAAAGATCTACTGCCATTTCACACACAGCTTCTGCTCTGAAATGGGTGATACTTACAAAAGGCTCAGTAGTGTCCTCAGGTGGGAAGTTCAACAGAGAAAGGAGCATACATACAGGGCAGAGGAGTAAGAAAAGTGATTACAAATAGGGACAGTAAAGAACCTTTGGACACTCTTAAGATTTGTGGAATATTTTAGCACGAAGACAGGCATATTCAGTTTGTCCCAGAGTATTTGGTCATCTATCAGCGTTTTTTTACACAGGAAAGAGGAGGAATGAGAGTAAGGCAAATGTCGCCAGTGTGTCAAAAGTGGCACGTCGAGAAAGCTTTGTTCTGGGAAGAGAGACTGGAGGGATTTGGAAATAATGTATGCTTCCAGGCAACTGACAGAAGAATACAAACTTTTGTGAGTACAAGGATCGGCATGAAGAGACATTTTGAACAAACTAGTAATGCCCTTTTGGTCCTTCCGTTTATACCCAGCTCAAGTATGCATTCCAAAAGAGACAGGAAAAGATTGTGGCTTCTTGACCAACATGTTCTTCTGCAACCAAGGAAACAGATAATTTAAAAATCCACCCCTTCCATTATAGAGAAACCCTCGCATGCAACGGTTGCAACGTTTAATGAAGACGACTCTCCATGTTCAGTAGCCCTATGAAGATTGCTATTAGTTTGTGTCCCAGACCAGTTCACCAGCCTCATGTTCCACATGGTTTCACACGGGAAACGGAGGAGAGCCCTCTGGGCATTTTTGTTAGGTTATTTTGCACCTTTTCACCTTCCATCGGCAGACTGGGTTTACACAGTTGTCAGGATTGTAAAATGTAAGGAGAGATTAAGGCTGTGTTGACTTATGTCCACACAATCGTCTGAAGTCAAACAACTCTTGGTCTTCACGGTTCCAACCAGTTTGGGTTGAGCCAGTGCCGGTCCCCATCATCCGTGTATAACTCTGAAACAATGGAATGAATCATGGTCCCTCTTACCAGGGAGCTAATTTGACAACCACCCTATTGTTTTCAAGGACAAGTCACCATTTACTGACAACATCTAGAAATTCTCTGCCAAACTTCAATTCTGGATACACTTTCAACAACCCAAAAAGATGGAAACCCAAGCCAATTTCCCATTTCTGGGCGGTTCACTAGTATGGGAAGAAAACACTGGGAGCCCAGTGTCTCTCCTGTCTTGTAAGAAATGAGTGATTTATCAACTAGGACATAGGAGGCTTTTTTCTTTATTTCTCTCTCTCTCTCTCTCTCTCGCTTCTTTTTCCTTTCATTTGTGGCTCCTGCAGTTCAGCTGACCCTTACAAATATTTCATCAGTTATCAGGGGCAAAGTTGTGGCCCCTGGACTCAAGGGAAGAACTTACACGGTCATAAATAGAATTGTGTTTCTTGGACGGTGTCGCCTCAGAATCGTTGGACTCACTCACGGTGAGAGGACTGTCTCTCGCGAAGACCTCCGTAGACTCTCTCCATAAACAGTCCACGGAGACTTTAAAGGAATAGCTGCTAGACTTTGGCCTGGACATCTGTGTTGCATTGCTGAAGATCTGTCTGCTGTTGGAAGTGGCGATCTTAATCTTCAGCGCGGCGTCTACGCGGTCCACCACGGTGTATATCCCAATGCTGCCGTCATCAAAACCCACAATGATATGCAGGTGCCTTTGCGAGAGCGCCAGGAAAGTGGGCGTTTTGTAGAGCGAGCAAGCACCGATGTTTTTGCCATCGGCCAACCTCATTACAATTAAGCTGGAGATGGCACCGTTTTCCTCCTCCTCCTCCTCCCCATTTCGGAAGCAAATGTAAACCAGATAGCGGCCATCGCGGGACAGCCTCTGCCGCCAGATGATCCCGGAGGCGTGAACCACGCGCAGTTTCCCACTGTGCAAATCGAGCACGTTGATATTATCGTCTCCCCTAGAGATGATGCCCAGCTTTCCATTGGGGGAAATTTCGAAATCCTCGAGATTCTTCAAGAAGTTGTTGGGAAGCTGCACGCGCCGACAGATGACTTCGTCGGCCAGGCTCCAGATGTTCACCGTCTCGGCAGATGTAATGAACACGATGACGTCAGGACAGTCGGGGATCAATTTAAAATTCACAATGGTGGTCCCCTCTTCGCAGCAGAACTTCTTGGTGATGCTTCCGGTCCAGAGACTGACAGCCAGCACCTTGCTCTTGGTCATCCCCACCACGAAGGTGTTTGCCGAAGTGATGAAGGCGTTCTGCAGAGCGGTCAGAATGTTGCAGACCCTGTGGCCCGTGGCCAGCCGCCACACCCGGGAGGCGTTTTCCTCGCAGAGTGAGACCACAAACTGGTCGTTGTGTGTGATGAGCAGCTGACATATCCTCTGCCCGTTGATGCGGAAGAGGTTTTCGCCGCTGCTGGTGTGCCAGACGTACTGGCTGCTCTTGTCGTCGGATGTCACCATGATATCTCCAGAAGATGTCAACACACAATGCTCCACGGTGCCTTCGTGCTTGAATATTGCTTCGATGAAGCCGCTGCTGAAGTTCCACTTGTGCACGCAGTCCGAGCCATCGAGGGAGTAGATGATTTCCCCTCTCGCAGGCAACACCAGACTCTGGATGGGTTTTCCCGTCTTATCGATATTGGACATAGCTGTGATGATGTCTATATCCCAGATAGAAAGCACACCGCTGGTAGATAAAGACAGCAGCATATTATGGTGACTGGATTTAACCAACTTGACTATGGTACCTGAGATTTCCTGTAAGCTCGCCATACACTGCCCGGTGTCCCGCCTCCAAAAAAATACGGCAGGAGTGTTTTCCATGGTGGCGATGATGCAGTCGCCATTCTTGGATAGCACGGCGGAGATGAAGCGCTCATTGTGCTTGGCTCGGAACTTCTCGGCCACCTTCCACACGCTGGTGTCTAAGAGTTCGATGCTAAGCGCTTTGCAAATAAGAATTGCACTTTGGTCCTCGGACAGTTCGATGCTGACCACGTCACTGTCTTCTCTTCGGCAGTCAAAGTCATCGGTCAGCTGGGGGTTAGCCATGTCCTCAGTATTCCAAACAGACAGACTCCCCTCGCTGTCTACCATCACCATTTCTTGAGCTGTATCCAAGATCAGGAGAAACTTCACAAACCCACCGGAGAATTCAGACGTCACTGTACATAACTTTTCTCCATTCCCTAGGTGGAAGATGGTGGTGGTGTTCAGGTACTGGCCGCAGAAAGCGTACATCCCGTCCAGAGAGCACTGGACACAGGTCACTTCGTACCAGCAGTGGAACTGATGAAGGGGCCATCCGTAGAGCAGATCGATGACGGTGACATCTTTGCTGGCCTCCAGCCATGCCAGCGCGTGGTTGGCCGACAGTGTGAATCCATTGATGTAGGTGGAGGCGCTTCCGTGCTTGGTTCCTTTTATTTCCACCTCAGACAGGAGGCACGAATTCAAATTGTCATAAATCAACAAGGTGTTGTTTGTGGTGGCCACGACAAGATACTTTTCGTCACCAGTGAGCTTCATGCCCAGGATGACTGACTGGGCGGTCGTGATCTGCCGGAGGAGCTGGCGGGTCTCCACCTCCCATGTGCTGATGGACCCGTTTTCCAAAGCGGTAAGGACAGTGCTGGGGTTACAGGTAGGAAGGATCTCCGTGACATGCAGGTGACTGGAGGATAAGGGCAGCCGCTCGGGGCTATAGGTCACGTCCATGGATGAATGTAAGGGCACAATGGAGCAGTATTTGGGCCCGTCTTTGTCACATTCCAAAAGAAGGTGGCGAAGTTTGGGCAAGGAACTCACCACGGGCAGCAGCCTCTGCTGCAGCTCTGCTGAGAGGGAGCCGGGAAAGGCAACGACCTTGCTTTTGATGCTGCGGAGGGTGCTGGCCAGGAACTTCAGCTCCTTCTCCTGCGAGTGGTTGTAAGCCAGCTCGATGTCTGACAGCACTTTGTCAAACTGGCCGATTTTGATCATGGTGTAAAGCCAGCTGAAGTTCATGATGATGCCATACAGCAAGTCATCGGTTTTCCCGCTCTTGGTTAAGTGGTACAAGAGCTCCGACATTTTCCGGTGGTTGACAAAGAAGATATCGGGCTCCAGTGGGTTACACTGGAAGACCCAGGGCTGGTCCGGGGCTTGCCTGTCGAAGGACGCCTGCTCCAAGAAGTGCTTCTCCTCCTCCAGCAGGCTTCTGTTCTCCAAGTCCAGGCAGCCGTTCAAGTAGGGGTCCTCGAGGCAGAAGGCTTTCCTCCTGCCCCCTGACCAGACCCCGAGGAAATAATCGGCCATGATGGCGTGCATCTCATGCAGTTGACTCTCATCCTGCAGATACAGCTTCTGGGCAATGAGCTGCAGGTGTCTGTTGGCCCACACCAGGAGGGTGATGTTCTTCACGTGCCTTTCTATCAAGTACCCGCTGAGGCCCTCTTTCAGCCGTGCGATGAATAAGTAGGGGACTCTCAGCGGGTTGTCGGGCCTGGCATTCTCATTGAGCTCATTCATCACCATGTTGTCTAAGGCTAACACATCCTCTAGTTCCATCTCGCTCAGACCCATCTTGGCCATTGTGATGTAGCCCAGGGCCCTGGAGACCAGCTTCTGACCGCACCTCTTCTCCAAGGACCAGAATAACTGCTCTATACTTTCATGCACGGTGACACAGAGGGATGACTCATTGACATCTTTGTGCGATCTCCAGTGCCTCACCTCCCTGAAGGTCAGGTTCACAAACATTGGCAGCGTGCACTTGGAGAAGGCGTTGTTCACGTAAATCTGCTGGCCCGACGTCACCTTCCTTTTGACCCGAAGCAGCTGGTGCTTGAGGACCTGGCTGCACATCTTCTTGTCCCGGGGGATCAGCTCGATGTAGCGGTCTTCGCTGTGGATAAGGCACCGGAGTTTCTGCAGGATCCCGTGTTTGTTGGGCAGTGTGGACAGCACGATCCGGACGAAGCGGGGCAGGTGGGCAGGCAGCCACCAGAGCTTCCTGGCGTCGTCACTCTCAGAGAGCTGCTCCAGGGCATCGAAGATGATCACGAGAGGTCTCTGCAGGGAAGACTCATTCAAAAGGTTGATGAATAAGTCACGGAGGTCGTGGATCTTTTTGGGGTAGCTCTGAACCAGACACCGGTAGTTAACTGCCAGCTGTTCACATATACTCAGCAGGAGGTTCCTAAGGTCGGTGCTCATGTCTGTAGTTCCCAGAAATCTCACAACTATGACTGGGTCAGAGTCTGGTCCCCCGTCTTCATGGAGCCAGCCGTAAGCCTAGAACAGAAAAGCCGTGCTTAGTACAGGAATATGATTCACAGTCATATCCAGCAATGTTTCAGACATCAGATGTTTGGTGACCTCTACCATGCATAAAGTAGCCTGGCAGTAGGAACTAAGTGTGAAATCCTTTGGACAAGGCCAAAGAGCTGTCACAAAGCACATACTCTAAAAGCCACAGGTAAGACCTGGGGGTAGTTATATCATCTGTTGTCAATTTGAGAGGATTACGAGTGAAGGGGTGGATTCTGGCCTGTCAATCAGGATATAGCCAATGAGGCCTCTGTGTGGGCCTGGCCTTCCCCTGAGGACCCTGGAAACTCACGGATTTCCTCCTTGGAGGTGGGAGACACTCTCGGCTCACTCCCTGAGAGACTCTACTGACAAGACACATGGCACTCTGCTGATAGACCATCTGCCCTGGAGCTGAAGGAACCACGTGGAGACCCCTGCCAGCGGTGAGATGCTTCTGCCGCCACTGGATCCACAAGACTTTTCACCTACTGGCCTGTGATCCTCCTGCATTCGGTGCCATTGCATGTGTTTCATGAGTCTGAAGTGGACTTTATAGATTGGTATCAGACATATGGGCTGATATCGGACTTATGGCCTTGATCTGGACTGGGCTGTGATGTTTTCTCAATCTTCAGCTGCTCTTGTATATAAAGCTCTTTCCTATATACATATGACTGTCTCCTTGGATTTGTTTTTCTAGTCTACCCAGGATTTGTTTCTCTAGTCTACCTGGACGAACACAAGACCCTCATTACCCTTAATAAAGGCAGGAGTGGGGAACGTCCAGGTTGTTGACTGTATAACTGATCCAAACTCACTGCTAGTGAATTGATATTGCCTCATAGTGACCCCTATAAGACAGGGTAGAATTACCCCTGTGAGTATCCAAGACTATAACTCTTTTTGGGAGTAGAAAGCCCCATCTTTCTCCCATGGAGTGGCTGGTGGTTTCAAACTACTGACTTTGTGGCTAGCAGCCCAATGTCTAACCATTATGCCACCAGGGGTCCTTGGTAGGCCTTAAAAGGCCCTTAAAATCATCAATATCTGCTAAAATCACATGCTTCACCCAAGAGAAGCAGTTCCAGTGATCACATTAGGGGTGAGTTTAAAGGCCCCCAGATGATGTCATAAATACCCCAATGCAATGACCCTTGGCAGAAAAAAAGGTTCCCCACCCCCGAGAAAGGTAATAAAATGGTGGTGATAGTATTATTCAACCATAAGGCACTGCATTCTGAAATTTCCACAGTCTTTTATAAACAGTAAGTCTGAATACCTCATATAGTTAGCTAATTATTTATCAGTGATTCCCCAATTCCTGGCACATAGTAGGTGCATCGTTAGTATTTCATGCATGGACAAGCTAAGTACCGAGTTACACATTGCAATGAGTCAAATATTTTCATTCGTTGAGATCACGCATATCATATATGGTGGATGCGGGGCAGTGGCTGGATTGACTGGATGTGGCTCCTGGAGCCAGTCTTTGGAACTATCTAACCCTCGATGCTGATTTTAAGGTAGGCAATATTGGCACCGAGAGCTGCCATGTGTTTCCTATTGCTTGGCTTGTTCCCCATGGACCGATTATGGCATCTGCGTGTATTGCCGCCCCCCACCCCCACCCTGTCTCGAACCACATTTTGAATAGATGATGTCTGTAAGGAGTGACCTGCAGTGAGTTCAGGGTTCTGCGATTCTGTCATGAAATTAATGATGTAAGCCTCCTCAATGATGTGATCTGATGCGATCAATCAGTTGTAAGGGGATTTAGGTGGGATGCAACCCCCTTACTCAGCCCTGGTCCTATGAAGGGGGAGTTCCCCTGGGGTGTGACCTTCATCCTCTCTTATCTTATCACAGGAAGGAGACGCAATCAGGGAGAAAAACTCGGAGCAGAATGTGTCTTTTGGACCTGGGGTCCCTGGCTGAAGACCTCCTAGCATCTTGGGGACCAGAGTTCTTGACTGTGAATAGACAGACTCAGATGACTGGGTTAAAACATCCAGAACAACAAGAGCTCAGAAGCCATTTCTCAAGTTGCTCAGCTCTGGGCTCTGCCAGCATCCTACCACAACACGGATTGCTTATCCAATCAGAGCAAAGCCGCTCCATCCCGCCTGATTCTCTACCTCCTGGGCTAGGCTACACTTAATAATGGAGTCTAATTTCATATCCTTGGCCACTTCCGCCACCATTTTCATTTCCACTCTCGTAAAGAGGAAAGCCCTAGCATGATTCTGAGATACAGACAGGAACCTGTTTTCTCATTTGCTCTCAGGTTCCATACGCCTCTTGCGGTATGAGTGACTTGCTCCCCTGGAACAAATCATCCGGTGTTGGAAGCAGAACTTTGGACCAGTCCATTGTAGTTTGACCCCTGGTGAAAATCTGCATCTCAACCGCCAGATCTAGCTAAATCAGAATCGACCACGGTGACAAGATCTGCAGCCAATTCTTACGTTCCCAGCTACATTCTGATGCAGTCTCTCTGGGGGTGGAAATGCAAATTCCTCTTAGGAGGTCAATACCCTATCTACCCCCACGTGACCCTCAAGGAGGAGAATTAGGGAATGCCACTGCTCACCTTCAACCTGGGGAAAAGAGCCTCCCTGAACCACTTACAGGCTGTCCCTGTGCTTGGGGAGATGAGGCAGGTAGTCATCTGCTGACAGCTGAGAAGTATAATGTATGAGGGACTGCGGATGGCTAGTCGCTGTGATGGGAGATTGACACAAAGTGGCTGGATTAGAATTTTTGTGTATGTTTTCCCTTAACTCTTGAATGATAAACCATTGGATTATATACAATCTTCTTCTTCTTTCAGTACTTTGTCATTTCTTGTTACACATTCACACCTTTCATCAGATCCATTTATCTTGTAATATTTTTGTTTATTTATCTTGGTATTTTACTTTTTGAAGGCATTAACATCTCAATTCTCTTCGGTTTTTGGTGTTTTGCCTACATTACTTTCTACCACAAAACAAAAAGCAACTTCAGGTGGGCAGAGTCTTTGGCTTTTACTTAATCATGCGGAAGCTTCTTCACCTTTGCCGGTTTAAGTAGGCTTGGAAAGCTCCAGCAGTTTTCAATGCTCAATGTCTCCCACAGACACCAGAGAACATGCTATGGTCCATCAGCCCACCGCCAGTCAGGGGAGACGAAACCAAAGAATCAAACGCACTACCATTGAGGCAATTCTCACTCACAATGGCCCTGTAAGACAAGGTGGGACTACCCATGTAGTTAGTGAAATGGATTCTGTAAGGGAATAAAAAGCCTGATCTTTCTCCCGATGAGTGGCTGGTGGTTTTGAACTGCTGACCTTGGGTTAGCAGCCCAACATATAACCACTACACCAACAGAGAAGAGACAGCACGCGTTAATCACTCTGTCCACCAGGGGCGCAATGCTCTCTCTGGTTATCACTCCCTTCCCTTCTGCAGTTTCTGCAACCAGAAAATCAGTCTCAAGAACCAGGGGTCCTCAAATTATGGCCCGTGAGCCACATGTGGCTGCCGAGGATATTTATCCGGCCCGCCAGGTGTTTTTGCCCCGTTTTGTTTTTTACTTCAAAATAAGATATGTGCAGTGTGCATAGGAATTGGTTCATAGTTTTTTTTCAGACTATAGTCCGGCCCTCCAACGGGTCTGAGGGACAGTGAACTGGCCCCCTGTTTTAAAAGTTTGAGGACCCCCACGTCAATACTGTACTGAACGCCTAGAGTTTCTTAGGGCCCCCAAATACTTGTTTTAATGGACCAGATGTGGACCCAGAGTAAGCTGACCCGGATTTTGTTTGTGTTTGCGTTTGCTTTCCCAGGCCCTGTGCAAGGAATTTTCTGTGTAGAGGACATCAGCAGGAGGGTGTTAGGCATGAACTGTGGCATGTCCCCTGTCTAGGAAACGGTAGGCACGAAATGTAGGCAAGGGCAGGGCAGGGCAGAAGGTTTGGGAGCGGAAGGGTCTCCATGATTCCATGAAACAGCCACTAAAGAGAAGAGCAGTTGGCTTCCAGCAGCTTCCAAGACCAGAGGTGTGGAGGCCAGGTCAGAAGGGCATTGCGTAGTGAGAACTTTTTTGCATCCCATAAACTGTAACCCTGGAGGGTTCCTGCAGGTGCGTGACGTACGGGAAGTATGGGGGTACGTGTAGAGAGGAAGGAAATATGGGCCTATCTTCATTTCCCGCTGTAGGCCTCAGCTAGAGGCGAGAAATACAGGCTGAAGTCTTAATTACTATGTCCGACGGGCCATAATGGGCCTGTTTAGCAACTGGCGGGGTTTTCTTTGTCGGAGAGGGAGGAGAAGGGTCATGGATTTGCCCTAGTTCTCATGCACACGGGAGTAACTTGCCCCACAATACCAGTTTGAACCAACAGAAAAAATGAAGTAGCTTTATAATTGTATACCATGGTCATTTACTTTCAAATCAAGCTCATACAAGATGAGGAGAAACACTGAAGTTTCCATAGAAAAATCTACTTATAATTCAGATGATAATAACAATAATTATAAATATATTATAATTATATAGGTATATAATATTCTATAGAATTATATTTCTATTGTACACATAGTATATATGTGACCATATAACATAATAAAGTCTATAGTAATAGACTTATAAAATACATAACTATAGCAATCAGATTATAATCCAGGTTAAGTATGGAAATATAAATTATTTTGATTACTTTGTCTCTCCAAAAGTAAAGTTAAAAAAAAAAAGACTATATACATGGAAAAAGTATATCGACTTTTACCTTTTTTGCTACTTCGGCTAGCAGAAGAGTCTTCCCTGTGCATGGTCCACCGTAGATAATAAGCGGGTTTATGTGGCCAGTTTTGCTGGGAAGGATGTATTTCTGCACTATGTTCAGGGATTCGCACTTGTACTCATAGAAGGAGGCATATGTTTTACACAAGGAGGAATGCTGTAGGATTTCATCATAGAGCGTGTCAGTTTCAGTGTCAAAATTCTGTTGTACCGTCGCCTGGATTATATCAATCATATCCTCATAAAATTGCTTGCCGAGCCCTTCTATGTAATGATTCTCTATTTCTTGGGAATAGCCTAGCTTCATGTCACAATGAGTAACAGATGTGTACACTCTCAGATTTGACGACGCGACAATCGTCGGAATAAATTCATCCCTGAGTTTAACCAGCTTTTCTTGGGCTTCTGGGTCTCGAATAATCCTTGGGTCTGTTCCAGTTAGATCCATGTATTTCCCCATCTCGGGGATTTTCACGAAACGCTCAATGTTCGCAATCTTCCTGATGTAACAAACACATTTCTTTAGGAACGCAGGGGTTTGTTTTCCTAGAGCGAAGTCAAACTCGTCCTCTATGGCTGGAAGAGAATAGGAGAGGGCATTACCGCCTAGAATGATGGCGCCACGAGTCAGTACTTGACTTGAAGGCCTTTTAACAACACCAAGATCACTGCCAGCAAGCTGACCCTGACTCCCTGGGAGCCCTGCTGGTGTAGTAAGCTATGGGCTGGGCTGCTAACCAAACCTTGTCTGAAACATCTTTCTCTGCATCTACTTCCAGAAAGACAGGTTTGGAAGCCCACAGGGGCATTCTACTCTGCCCTAGATGGTCACGACGAGTCACAGTAGCAGACTCATTTATAATTTCCTTAATCTACTTATTTGTCCTTCTCTACGTAGTCTGGTGCCTACATGAATGGGTTTTAAATAAGATCATCTCTATACATCCTCCGTGGAAAGTGGTACAGTGCCAACTCAGCCAAGTGGGAACAGAAATTCCATACGATCCAGTAATGTCATGAAGTAAGAGTCATAACTCCAACACACATCTTCACACTCACGTTCAGTGCAGCATTATTCACAATAGCAAGGAGACGGAAACAACTTAATGCCCATCAGTAGAAGAACGGATAAAGAAACTGGCATTTTCAATGGAATACAACGTAGACAAAAACATGGCGCACCAACTCATGATGTGGATGGACCTGGAGACCATCATGCTGAGTAAAATTATTCATTCACAAAAAGACAAATATTAGGGGGCGGGCTTGTGAACACCGACCAGGGGGCACCCGCCGCTGGGATGGCGGGGCCAGTGAAGGGCCCCGAGGCCTTCCAGAGACTCAGTTTCCTGTACCAGGCCGCCTACTGCGTGCTCGCGCAGGACCCTGAGAACCAGGCGCTGGCGCGCTTCTACTGCCACACGGAGAGGACCATCGCGAAGCGGCTGGTCCTGCGGCGGGACCCTGAGGTGAAAAGGACCCTGTGTCGTGGCTGCTCGTCCCCCCTGGTCCCGGGCCTGACCTGCACCCAGTGCCAGCGGTGCCGCAAGGGATTGCGCTGGACAGTACAGACCTGCCTAACAGGCCAGCGCAGCCAGAGATTTCTCAATGATCCCAGGCATCTGCTCTGGGGAGACAGGCCTGAAGCCCAGCTGGGGGAGCCTGACAGATCTCAAAGCCACACAAGCCCCGCCAAGCACAGCGCTCCCCATGCCAGTCGACCTTCCTGAGCCCATCAGAAGTGATGGATTCACCCAGTCTGCCCAGGAAATAAAGTTCAATTTGGTTCCAAAAAAACAAAGACAAATATTATATGAGACCACTATCATAGTGGGTAAAAACCAAAACAAAGCAAAATACACAAGAGAAAGACATTCAAACCAAAGGGAACAGACTTTGGAGGGCGTGAGGGGAGGGAGGAGGGAGAAAGTCACCGACTAGACGGGGACTGGGTAGTAA